ACTTGAGGGGCATCTTCCGCCTGCAATACTTGAGGAGCATCTTCCCCCTGCAATACTTGAGGAGCATCTTCCCCCTGCAATACTTGAGGAGCATCTTCCCCCTGCAATACTTGAGGAACATCTTCCCCCTGCAATACTTGAGAAACATCTTCCCCCTGCAATACTTGAGGAGCATGTTCCCCCTTCAATACTTGAGGAGCATGTTCCCCCTTCAATACTTGAGGGGCATCTTCCCCCTGCAACACTTGAGGAGCATCTTCCCCCTGCAACACTTGAGGAGCATCTTCCCCGTGCAATACTTGAGGAGCATCTTCCCCCTGCAATACTTGAGGAACATCTTCCCCCTGCAATACTTGAGGAACATCTTCCCCCTGCAATACTTGAGGGGCATCTTCCCCCTGCAATACTTGAGAAGCATCTTCGCCCTCCAATACTTGAGGAGCGTTTTCCGCCTCCAATACTTGAGGAGCGGTTTCTGCCTCCAATACTTGAGGAGCATTTTCTGCCTCCAATACTTGAGGAGCGTTTTCTGCCTCCAATACTTGAGGAGCGTTTTCCGCCTCCAATACTTGAGGAGCATTTTCCGCCTCCAATACTTGAGGAGCGTTTTCCGCCTCCAATACTTGAGAAGTGTCTTCCCCCTTCAATACTTGAGGAGCGTTTTCCGCCTCCAATACTTGAGAAGCATCTTTGCTATTCGTATCATTGATGATAGTTGAAGAATCAGATAGCTTATCACTGCACGATTCACGTTTCGTCCATGCAAATTTCCCCCTCCCATATTGTCTAGTGGTTCGGAATTTTGTCTCCTTGCCTTCTGCTAGATACTGTTGTTCACGTTTCCTCCTTACAAAATCACATGGCAGGAGATCTGTACGAGTTTCCCAATCTGTGGAATTGTAGCAACCACTTATGCTAAATCAATCATATTCTCATTGTAATAATCCCACAATCCACAGAAAGACACTCTTTCTAAATGAATGCACATACACAACGATCTTTGTGCTTTTTTAAGACAGACTAGACAAGACAGTGCAATCTTTAGGTGTTACAATCATAGATGCTACTTCAAGAAAGTTGTCTTTAGGCCATATAACTGAGGCAAGTATGCCCTATCTAAACAAGAAGGTCTCTTAGGTCAAGAAACATACAAAATTGTAGAGCTGCAACCTAGGAGTTCTCAACACGGAGTAATTCGTTTTAAAAAACAGGACTCCCAAAGCCTCGCAAGGAAACAAAGAGAGCGTTTAAGGATAAAATGTGCCATAAGTTAACCCACCCAAGTAGACATGAAACTACAATGAAATACAGAGCAATTTCCATCAAATGTAAGTTGAAGGCAACGTAAATGTACCTTCATCATCATCATCCCAAGACCCAATATAGGATTGAGCACGCTTTGCACTTCCTCTACTATGATCCAAATTACCTTCACAAGAAAAACGTATATCATTCCAACTAAATATTAGCAAACGAAGGAAAGTTTTCAAGAAAAAAAAAAAAAAAGGTGCACAATCATTCAACGACCCATCACAGAGCATTATCTCGAGTTTCGTCTCGCTATGATCCCAAAATCCATTCCCAACGTAACTAATCTCATTAAGATTTTGAACTGGTACGAACAACTAGCTGTTAAGAGATATCAACGCATATTCCTAATATAGCCGTCGAGTTTATCCAGTGAACTAAACACAATAACTCCATTGATTTTAAATGAAAAAAGACGAGAAAATTTCACCAGTTTGAACGGATGCTTCATCGACTGAATCACTTGAGGGCGAAGGTCGATCATCTTCCACAATCTTGGCATCCCTAAAAGATAAAAAGAGAAAAAAAAAAAAAAAAAAAAA